TATATATGTTGTATTTGTGAAGAATAGTATTAATCATGTTCTTATTCTTTATTTTGAATTTGAATAGTCTTGGATGAACATAAATTATACGCGGAAATTCTAATCGACGGGCAACATTTAATAAATTGTGGATTCTTTTTCAAGAATTAAAGGGTATCTTAAAAGGAGATTTCTCGTGATATAATAAACAATTTGTGGAAATTCCATAATACCATTACAGTATTTTGCGCAATTAGGGATGCGTTCGCGTACCCTGATTATATTTAAAAGCAAATTCGGATTATGCGTACGCGCAATTTCGAGCGAATATTTTAAAGGATTTCTCCGCGGATGTCAAAATAATTTCATATAACCCGAGATGTGTAGTTCATTGTCCAAATAAAAGGATGATGATGTTCCGGATTTTATTTTTAATTTTCGAATATATATTTTTATATAACATGGACAATTTTATTGTGTACACGTACGCGTGGCACAATCCCTGGTACTTATAAAAAATATAATATGAATATACGTACGCGTAATTCGTCCATGTAATTGTAAACAATAAGTAAAAAGCGGTAGTAAAATCATGCAATAAAAACGTATTTAGTAAAAATCAAGATAATTAATCCAATAATAAAAACAGTTAAGCGACCGAGCTAGAACCACGGAATTCGGAAATGCCTAACACCTTCTTCCGGATTAACAGAATTCCTTGCTCAGGATTTCTGGTTCGCAGAATAATAAACAGAGTCATATTCTCCTCGATTCAGGGATTAAAATTGGTGACTTGGGACGCCTTAAAATTCCCAGGTGGCGACTCTGAAATAATTAAATAAATCCCGTTTCGACTGTCCTTCAATTGGAAAAAACTCCCCACGCGCCCCGCGGGCGCGGTAAAAAGGAGGTGTGACAGTAGTAATCCTTTTTTTCTGCGGCTTCTCTAAATGTACTACAACATACTCCATTTACAGTTAGCAAATGTTGATATGATTTTGGTCCTCTAATATTTATTAATAATAATCGAAGATAGTATCTTTCCCCTCTGTAGGATGACATGTCACAGTACGTCCAATAACAGTACCCCATTGTCGACGTGTCCACATCCCATATTGTTTGGACCATACACAATATTCTGGAAATTCCTTGTAAAGTAACTTTAGATTCTTAGCATCTTTGTTTTCTCTGTTCATCAAAAAAAAAATCTGTCAACATTGTTTTTCTAATCGTGGGATTACTTACAATTGCATTTATGGTCTGTGTGGTTTTAAAAGAAATAAATTGTTGTCCTTCAAGATGTAGCTGAAGATGGTAAACAGCTGAGCTCATTTCGCTAATGGAAAAACCAAATAAACGCCAAGTTGCTTCCGGCGGCGAAACCCATCTAGCGAATTGATATTGTTTGATCTCAACTATTTCAATATTTGCATCATCAGCATGTACAAAAAAAATAATTTTATCATGTCCCTTACAAATATATTTATAAAGATATTTGACAACTTTAATATCAGAATAAACTTCAACATTAATATGAAAATTAAATTTTCCCAATAGATATGGATTGTAAGGAACCACCCAGGAGTTATCAAGAAGTTGTCCTCTAATATTTACAATGTTGCCGGTATTTCATCTTTGATATATTGGATACCCATCTTTTCCCTTTGATGTGTGATCGGCAAATTACTTTGGATATTCAAACTTACAATATCCTTTTTTCCTATACAAGGACATTTAGGATTTAAGCTACCATAAGGTCCATGCATCATATGTTTAGTAACAAGTGTATACAAGTAATCATTCGTATCAGAATCAGGCAGTTCAGCACAAACAATTTTATCATAAGCTACTGGAGTTAACAATTTATATTCGTTGTTGAGTATGATAAGAAAATGGGCATGTGGAAGACCGCGTTTTTGAAATTCAATAGTATACATAAAAGCAGCAACTCTTCCAAATATGTTTCTCTTTAGTATATCTGTTTTCATTTCTTCTACCTTCGCTCTAAACACTCGACTAACTAAATCATGCCGATTTTGTACCTCATCTGTTACAAATAAATGTTCTTCTATTTCAGGCCAAGATGGATTACATGTCATTGTCAAAAATATATCAGGTTTTCCAAAATGTTGCACTAACACAATAGCGTCCATATATCTTTTGCGCATATCTCTAGGACCCCCTACAAAACTCGCAGGAAGAAAACTTTGTTTACCAATATTTGATGCATCTCTCTCTCCGTGTCTTAGAACATCAAGAATCCCCGCTAACGCATCAACTCGAAATAAATCTTGATTAAGTGAATAGAAATCTAACCTTTGAGTCTCAAGCTTGATGAATTGATCAACTAAGTACTGTTGAAATGCTCTCAGCATGCAGAACTCCATTTTCTTCGTCATCTCTCATTTAAAGCTTATAACAGTAATATTCACGACAAGATACATTATTTCTTTTTCGTTTTTTTTTGCAGAAGTTTCGCTTCCATATCAAGAAGCATGTCAATTGAGCATATATTTTCTACACTCGGAAGTTGGTCGTGTTCACAATAAATTCCAGTACTAATAGTATTGTTCGTTCGAATAATCTTTTTAATACCACAGTGCCATCCATTCTGTCCATAAGGAAATAGTAATGGATACTGCAATGGATCATAACAGCCGTAGTAATAATTTACCAATTGGCTCTTACAACTATGTGTATAAATTTGAATGTGCGGTAAAAAAATATTGGAACTACTCTCATCTTCTATCCATATTACTGCTACTTCTGACGATGTTGGTAAGTTGTATGTTCTTTGATCTAAACCAGATTCAGACTTAAGCGCAATATAGCAGTTGGATAATTGTGAAATATCTGTTAACGATTTCAAGAAAATGCAGTATGGGTTCATTTTTAAAGTGTCCATCAAAGTTCTGATAACTGATTCATTAAGCTTGACAGAGAATGCCATTCGATTCACTACTTCATTATTTGTATCGTAGAAATACAACTGTAGATTTTTAGCCAGTTAACTCGATGACACCAAGTCATCTATAAAATGATACATTTTTCTTGAACTCTAAATGTATAAATACCGCAATTTCTTCTCGCTAAATCTCTGTCATATTTCACTCCAAGAGAAGTAAATGCGAACATATTGTTATACATTCTAACATAAGTGCGAAAATGTTGACATTCCTCAGAGTTTCCTAAATAAAGATTTAGCAATTCAGCTGGCATTCCATAGTGAACTAATTTCATTGAACCATTGTCACAACAAAACCCCAGCGGTTCATATTCAAATCTTTTGGCTCTACAAAATTCACAGTTTGATACGGGTTTGAGTCTAAAAGAGTTAGTAGGCAATTCATTATGTTGCAACGACCCAATATTCTATTTTTACGACTTGTGTATCTCAAATTTTAGCGAAGGAAAATATATCTGTTCAAGGGAAAAAATAACTAAAATGGTTTGAAGGGTAGCTGAAAGCAAACCTTTCTTTGTTGTTGTATACGACGTAATGGTGTATTGTTCGGTGCACGTTCCTGACGTGGACCCTAACATAAGGAGTTATCACATAAGTATGGATATTTCAAAAAACTACAAATAACACCATTGTTCCAGGCTTACCAACTTCAAAAATGCAGGAGCTACTACTTATATCTCTGTCATTATCAGAAATAACGGAAGCATCAACTGAGTGCACATTTGGTAAGACAGACAAAGAGAAAACAAGTTAGTCACATCACATTGATGTGTGAACATATAAACTAAAATATACACATATAAGAAGCAAGTTATTAACTAAAAAAATAATATTGTGCTAACTTGTTTCCAAGAGAGAAGATGAGGCTCCTCTTACACCAACTGTATTCTCGATCCGCTCTTTGCTAAATTGACAAGCAGTTGGTACCTCTGTGGAATTATCAATAGGATTATGTGTTGTAGAATGAAGGTATACCATTCGTCATTGCATTAAGTTTAATTCTCTTCTGTTTGCCGACATCTCTCTATTTATTTCACGGCGTCTCTGTTTTATTTTGACGCCTCTTTCTTCAGAGCGTTGACGCTTCCCTTTTTTTGTTGGCATATGGAATCAATATTTTTTTCAAGCATAGGAATCTTTTCTCATGATCCCTGTTCGCCCTCCGTGAACCATCGTAACGCACCTAGTCTCTACGACTAGGTAAGCCTAATTTGCTGAAGAAAAACCAAAATTTGCGGAACTAAACAATTTAAAACAGAAATAAAGCAGTAACAGTTTTAAATGTGCCGCTCGGCATACACCATATTTAACTCTCAATACCAAACATAAATTCAAGACCCGGAAACCCATGAATCATAAGCTAAGATCAATACTACATAGATCTAACTCAGAATGTCTAATAAGAACAGGAAAGTACAGAAGGGCTAAATACTAAAAGCAGGAATAAAAAGGGACTTCTTGGTTTGCGGACGCGGCAGATGTACCTCAAAGTCTTTAGAGAGGTCGCCCCCCTCAAGGATAGTAGACCTGATCAGCGGTACTTGGGCCTGCACATGAAAAACATGCGCAGAAGAGGCATGAGTACACCACAGCGGTACTCAGTAAGTGCCAAGCCTAACCTCGGTTGGGTAGTGACGAGGAAGGTCAGGGCCCTACTGAGGTTAAATAAAATATAAAGATCAACAGTATAGAACGGAACAGTATAAATAAGTACAATAGTAAAATAACACAAGATGAACAAAACAGTAACAACTATACAAAATAAGGTAAACATGGAAAGGAAATATAGCTCAACACCAATAGTAACAATCGGGGATCTCCCAGGATACCGTCTTGTAGTCCCATCTTTACATATCCAGTGAATCTCCCGGGATACCATCCCGTAGTCCAACTCATAGTGCACGAGGATCTACTGGAATCCTGTTCCGTAGTCCCAAATGTAAATACCCAGTACTGAGGGAATCTACCGGGTGCATTCTCGTAGTTCCACATAACTGTGCAGGGGATCTACCGGGAATCTAACCCGTAATTCCTAAAGTAAATGTGCAGGGGATCTATCGGGAATCTAACCCGTAATCCCAAAGTAAACAGACAAGGGGGAGCTACATGAATCCCACATCCATAGTCCCAAAATAAATACACAACAGCAACAAGAAGGTATACATAAATGGCAAAATTTCATATTAAGACAATAAGTGATTCTAGCCCAGCATGCTGCACAGAATTCAAATAAGGCAGGTTGAATCAATTAAAGCAATTAAGTCACTTAGACATGCTTTCCTAAGCTAACAATAGTCTTAATAGTTCAAGAAATAGAAACAGGAAAGGAAACATACTAGTAATTACTTAAAAAAATCGGATTTCCAAGAATTAGCACAAGTACACACTCGTCACCTCACGTACAAGGTATTTCAATTACCAAATACACCAATCCTAGGGGAAGGTCCCCCATACAAGGTTAGACAAGCCACTTACCTCGAACCGGCTCAAAATTAACCCAACACCACGTCTTTGCCACGAGTACTCGACTCCAAATGGCCTAAATCTATTCAATTCAATTGCATAATGTAAATAACACTTCAAGTAACTGATTTTACAATTAAATTCTATGCTAATACGCAAAATTATGTAAAGTGACCAAAATGCCCCTCGGGCCCACATCTCGGAATCGGGTAAAATTTACATTTTTAGAATTCTCATACCCTCACGAGTCTAACCATACCAAAATTATCCAATTCCGATACCATTTGGTTCTTCAAATAAATATTTTACATTTTTGAAAGATTTCACAAGTTTTCTTCCCAAATTCCATCCCAAATCACGAATTAAATGATGAATTCAATGATGTATTCATGTACTCTAACCAAATCTGAGTTAGAATCACTTACCCCGATGAATTTCTTGAAAAACCTTCGAAAAATCGCCAAAATCCGAGCTCTCTAGGTCAAAATATGAAATAAAACCCAAAACCTCATATTTATAGAGCACCCCCAGATTTCCACCACTGCGGACCGCACAAAAATGAGTGTTGTCCGCACAAAACCAGTGCGGTCCGCACAAAAATGAGTGCTGTTCGCACAGGTTTTGACTGCAGTGATAGAATTTAGTATTTTGGCCACAACTTTTTCTACAGATGTCCAAATTATAATTTCTTTACCTTTATGGAAACTAGACACGAAGAGCTACAACTTTAGTTTTTGAATTATCCCATAATTTCTTGTAGATCAAAAGATATGAGCTTCCGAAGTAGGACTAGTGAAATTTTCCTCACCGCGGACCGCACTGCATTTTGTGCGGCCTCAAAGCCCCCACCGCGGACGCACTGGATTTTGTGCGGACCGCACTAGTGGGTTCTGAGGCCTGCAATTCTTTTGGACCTGCAACAACTATAATTTTTGGCCTAAAAACATCCCGGAATCTACCTGGAACTCACCCGAGTCCCTGGGACTTCAAACCAATTGTACCAACACATCCCATGACATCGTTCAAACTTATTCAAAACTTCGGAACGCTCACAATAACATCAAATCACCAATTTAACATAGGATTCAAGCCTAAGAATTCCAAGAACTCTTAACTTATGCTTTTGATCAAAAAGTCTATCAAATCTCGTCCGAATGACTTGAAATTTTGCAAGCACGTCACATTCAACACTATAGAGCTACTCTAATTTTTGGAATTCCATTCCGACCCTTAGATCAAAAATCTCACTATCGGACCGGAAACTTCAAAAATTCGACTCTCGCCTGTGAGCACGTGATTTTTGCCTCACGAAAATTACTCCAAAATAAATCAAAAATAAAATAAAT